ATCACCTCATACAGTAAATTCCAAACACATGGCTCAGAAAAACCTTATCCCATTTATGCCCCGGGAATGTTGGGGCGGTGGGGGTGGAGGGGTGGGGGAAGGAACCTGTTTCAAACAGGCATTCAAATCTGTATCTATTAACCAATCACACATCCTCTCCTCTTCTCTCTTTTCCTCTTTTTCTCTCTCCTTTCCTGTCTCTTCCCTTCCCTTCTTCTCATACCTGACAGAGCTTGGCTCATAAAGTCCTCTCTCCCAGAATGCCTTTCTCCATTTCCATTTATTTAATTCCTTACATCTCCAAAGCCATCCTCAAAGAGGCATTTTGAAAAACTACCAGGTGAAGAAGAAAGCAAGGGCTTTGGTCAGACATTTTCTGTCTCAATCCAAGTCCCTTTACTTACTGGCTAGCCAACCACCCTTCCAGTCCCAATTTTCTCATCAGTATCATTAGACGATAATTGTAGCTGCTTCAAAAGCTTGCCGAAGGAAAAAAAAAAACTTATTTCAGGTATCTACTGAAATGCAGCAACACATAATTCAATAAAAGTATCAACAGATATCATACTCTCCTGAAATCAGCCCTCCATCTCATTTTCTGGGTAGTATTTTATGTGTGTTTGCCATCTTCCATTTGTTTTTGCGGTACTGAGGACTGAACTCAGGATCTGGAGCTTTCTAGCAAGCACTCTACTACTTGCGCCATGGCCAATCCCAGTCTTGGTTTGTTTTTGTTTCTTTCTTTTTCAGATAAAACCTCATACTACTTTTGCCTGGATGGCCTCAGATCATGGTTATACTGCCTCCAGCTCTGATATATCTAGGACCACAAGCATGTTCTTCCATGCCCATCCATACAAGTTTACTTTCAAGTAAACTTGGAGTCATGGATAATGTGACTGCTACCTCTGCATTTAGACAATAGTCAGTCTAGTCTCCCTCTGTGTTCTGACATGTGCTAATTATGTGAGCCTGAGCAAATCACTTTGCAGTTTCTCCATGTGAGAAATGGGTTTAGGGTTTAACATGGAAAGAATTCCATGAAATTATGTGCATGCAGTTCTCAGATCAGTGCCTGGCACAAGACATACAGGAAGGGTGTGGCTACTGTCTTGTAGCATTATGCTGAAGAGAGCATGGGCGTGGCCATGAAAATTCCTCACTCGGAGTCCTGGCCCATGTGAACCCATTGCAATGATCAGTAGTCCAGCATCCCTCTCTTTACTCCTGAGCAATGTTGTTGCTGTCAGTCAACCCTTTTTCAGACCAAAAGGCCTCTTTTTGCTGTCCCTGGGGTCCATCTGGGCTAACACCATCATTTTCTCTGTCCCACACTGAAGGATTCCTAAAGCCAAGCAGGATTGCCTGCCAGCATCCCAACAACCCAGAGACCAGGGACACACCGTCTGGTTCATTTGGAGCAAGGCAGAACCTGGCACTGGAGGACATCCAGCCAAGGCTTATTGCATGTCCTCCCCCATAAAGGAACCCATGGTCCAGCCCAGCAAGAGCCTCTCAGCCACCAGCTAATGGGGTTACAAGATTTCGCTCCCCAGGAAGCTGACTTTAATAATGGGATGCAAAGGAAAAGCGGGACAGGAAGAGGAGGGAGGGCAGGTGAGGGCACTGGGCTGAGGCTGAGTGACATGTCCTATATGAAGTTGATTCATGTTGAGCAAATCTAGGCAGGGACCAGCTGATTCAGGCAGTTAAGTTATTGCTCTGCCAGTTTAATATTTCGCCATCTGCTAACTGAAGGCTCCACTGCCTGCTGGGTCCTATAAAGACTTTTATTTATTATATTACACATGGCAACATCTGCCACCGAATGAGGTTCTACTTGGCGCCCTAATTAAACAAACACACACTCCAGCGACGGCAGAGGGCCGGGTCGTACCATGAGTCAGACGAACTGTTGCAGGGAATTAAAAATTTAGGACTGTCCCACACCCAGCTTTCAAGGAAGCACGTGGGGCATTCTGCTTACATCCTGATGCCACTGAAGATTTACAACCCATTAAAAATCGGCTGGAAAAACTGAGTTTAAAAAAAAAAAGTAGGTCAAATTTCTGTCTCCTCCAGCCTGCCTCTTCTAAATAAAACTTGGATTTCAAGACTTGGTTTGGCTGGTGGTCAGAATTCCTGGCCTGATTTTCCTACCTCTTTATCACACGGTCTCTTGGCACCTTTACACCCTTCCATCTCCCCGACCATGCTCGAAAATGCTAAACAGCCCTGGCAACACAAGAAGCCCAGCCAAAGGCTGAGGAAAATGAGTTCTGAGGTTTCTGTTCATTTTTTCATCCATGCATGCATTCAATAAATATTTATTGAGAATACGCTACATGACCCACACTCTAGCAGTGAGCTAGCTAGTAAATAAGGAAATGTTTCTGTCTCCCTGAAAGGCAAACACATGAGCCTAGAGTCATCAAAGAGACAAATAAGTAATAATTACCAACTGTGAGGAGTACTGAGGAGACAGAGGAGTGTGTGTGTGTGTGTGTGTGTGTGTGCGTGCGTGCGTGCGTGCGTGCGTGTGTGTGTGTGTGTGTGTGTATTACAGTGTAAAGCCTGGGCTCATATAGGTCTATAAGTTCCTCGTGGTTGCTATACAAGTTTCCAGGAACTTAATGACTTACAACATAAAGGTGTTATCTTGTGGTTCTGAACTTCTGAGGTCCAACATGGCTAAAATTACCAAGTTAAAGCCACTGGGCTGAAATGAAGGTATTGCTGGGATATTCTCTCTAGAAGTTCTAGGAGAAAAACCTACCCTCCTTTCCCAATTTCCAGATTCGGTCTACATTTCTTGGCTTGTGGCCCCCTTTCATCCCCAAAGGCAAGAGGATGGCTTCTCTCTGACCTTATTTCCCTGTTCTTCTCTGTCTCTTTTGCATCTCCATCTTCTACTTTTTAAGGCTGTTTATAGTTATACAGGGCCACCCACATGCTGCAGGGTAATTTTCCTATTTTAAGGTTAGATAAATACCATTTTCTACCTCTGTTCTCCTGTCCCATGTCACGGGCTCCAGGGATGTGGAGGACATCTTTCAATGGCCATCCTTCTGTGTATGGGAAACAAACTACTTTGGGTTCGGTGGCCTTAGTAGGTCTTTCTGAGATGTGATGATAACAACAGGTTTATTGTTGTTTTGTGAGGTTTTTATAGTGCAGGTCCTGGGGCTTGAACTCAGGGCCTGGATAATATCCCAAGGCCTCTTTTACTCAAGGCTATCACTCTACCACTTGAGCCACATCTCTACTTCCAGTTTGGGGTGGTTAATTAATGATAAGAATCTCAAGACTTCCCTGGCCTAGCTGGCTTCAAACCACAGATCTCAACCTCCTGAGTAACTAGGATTATAGGCATGAGCCACCAATGCCTGGCTGAGAAGATGTTTTACATAGAACAAAATGGAAGCATAAGGCCCAGAGGCAGGAAAGAGCTCACAGTGTTTAGTGCTGAAAAATCAGCCATTGCCCTGGGAGAGTCCAAGAGTCATGGGCAAGAAAGAAATATCTCAAATTAAGCTGAAGAGTTATTACTTAAAAAGGGGAGTCAGAGTGTACACAATCTTGTATGCCTTACAGAAGTAGCCAGGTAGAATAACTAAAAGACTAGACATAAGCCAGGACTTAAGCCAACTTCCTATTCAGGAGGTTGAGAGCAGGAAAATCATAGTTCAAGGCAAGCCCATGCAAAGAATTTGTGAGAACCCATCCCAGCAACTAGTTGTGTGTAGGGGCATGCTTGTAATCTAGATATGCAGGAGGCTGAGATTGGGAGGGCTGAAGTTTGAGGCCAGACTGAACAAAAATATCCATGAGACCCCATCTTAACAGAAAAATCTGGGTATGATGGTGTGTTCTGTCATTCTAGTTACAGCAGGAAGTATAATTAATAGGACGATGAGCCCAGGCCATTCTGAGCAAAAACTGAAACCTTACCTCAAAAACCACCAGAGCACAAAGAAACTTGGATAGAGTACCTGCCTTGCTAGGTCTTGAGTTCAAAGTGAAGCACTACCAAAAATAAAATGGCTAGACATAGAAAGAGAACTTGCTTTCATTTAGCACTTTATTTCCAGTAGACATTGTGCTGGAACCTCTTGAAATACCTGTTAATTCCTAAATCAAGTACATAAAAGACATATACTTCAATTCCCAGGGTACATATGAGAACATGTCAATTAACAAAGACAGGGTATAGAAAGTCCTAAAATATGGCGCCCACAATCTGTCCACTCGATGGGGTTGCTCTCAAAATGATTTTGCCTTCTAGACATTTGTGACTATGAAGCAGTGTTCTACCTTTCACTTTGAAGGTAGGCTGCAGAACCCAAAATAACATGGAGCATCCCAATACACTAGTGTTTTATTTGATGCTGCTCTGTCAAGAGAGAGAAGAGCAAATCCGCTCAGAGCATTGGGGAGATGGAATTTATATCTCTCCTCAGCTTGATAGCTGAGGGCAATGGCTGAGTTCCTGGCACATGAGACCCCCCAAACATTGTGACTCAAACATGGGTGGAAGGCTAGGAATATGGCTTAGTGGCAGAGTGCCTGCCTTGCATGCATGAAGCCCTGGGTTCATTCCTCAGTACCACATAAACGGAAAAAGGTAGAAGTGGCTCTGTGGCTCAAGTGGTAGCCTTGCACTTTAAAGAAACTCAGGGACAGCGTCCAGCCCTGAGTTCAAGTCCCAGGACTGGCAAAAAAATAAAATAAAAACCAAAGCTGGAATGCATTTCTCTTTCACAGATCGGTCCAGAGGTCAACCATCAAAGACTCATGCTCCTTCCACCTTCTACTTCTATCATAACTTTTTTTCTCTATTCTTCTTATCCACAGGGTTGAAACAGCCTTACCAGAATCCTATCAAATTCCATCAGGGAGAAAAAGTAAAAGGATGGAAATGTGAGCATTTTCTTTTCAAATTCTGTTATTTGAATTTGCACACGACACTCTGCTCCATCCTGTGGGTAGTCACTTAGCTATGTGCCAGCACAGTCTCAAAAGGAGTCTATATCTATCCAGGTGGACAAGTACCGAGTCAACAATTGGGAAATGTTTCTAATTAGCAATAACTGCACCTCAGATAAACCTCATTGGCTATGATATTGCCACTACACAAAGCTACCAAGACAACCGTTGGGAGGAGGAAGGAGAAAACAGGTACAGGGTTATGACTGCCACTCTGTCACCAAGTACAACTAAACTACACAGTAACGCTGTAACCTGTTCATGGATGAGAAACCAAGGCTCTCGCACAGACAGGCCACACAATCTCTGTTCTCTCGGCTTATCTAAAGTCTCAGAGGTCCTTGACTGCTAAATGCTACTTTTTAAAATTTTTAGAAGCACTAACTCTCTATTGTCCAGGAGAGAAAAACAAATTGATTTTTTTTCTCAAGAACTAAAAGTAAAAATAGCCTGACAGTGAGTGAATGTCACTCACCATCAGAGAGTAGGGCCCCAGGTTGTGTGGGAGGGGGGGAGGGGGGGAGGGCAGATCCACACAGCCCTTCTTTGGGACAGATCTTTGCATTATGATCAGGCTGCACTGCAGGCTCTGTGTTCAGCATCTTCATCTTCTATCAGTGAGAAACACTGACAGGCTGACCCTAAACTGTGCAATACTGAAATTTTGATCTCTTGAGAAAGAAAGCCCCAGTGAGAACTCAGGCTTCTGGTCAACCTGACAGCTGGTAGCTGATTTCAATTTGGGGGAGTTATTTTTTTTTGGGGGTCCGGTCGTGGGGCCTTAACTCTGGGCCTGGGCGCTGTCCCTCAGCTCTTCAGCTCAAGGCTAGCGCTCTACCACTTGAGCCACAGCGCCACTTCCGGCTTTTTTCTTTTTGCTTATGTGGTGCTGAGGAATCGAACCCAGGGCCTCGAGCATGCAAGGCAAGCACTCTACCACTGAGCCACCTTCCCAGCCCCTGGGGGAGTTATTTTTGTGTTCTGTTTTTGTTTTTGTTTAAATAAAATTACTTGACAGCACTGGGTGCTGGTAGCTCACCTCACACTTATAATTCTAGCTACTTGGGAGGCTGAGATCTTAAGGATTGCAGTTTGAAGCCAGCCCAGGCAGGAAAGTTGATGAGACTCTAATGAATCACAAAAAACTGGAATGGAGCTGTGGCTCGAGTGGTAGAAGCTGACCTCAAGCAAAGAACCTCAAGGACAGCAACTAGACCCTAAGTTCAAGCCCCAGGACACACACACACATACTTGACAGCACTTATTCTAAGATATTTGTGAAGATAGCAATATATAAAAGAGGTACAGGAACGTAATCCTATGTAAATGACTGCTTATCTGGGGTCACTGGAGGACCAGTGTTGGCCTGATGAGGAGGAGCTTACAATGGTCTTGGGGCACATAGTGACAACGGTAATCACCTCATGGCCAATCACATATGCTTGTGACCCAGTCTCCCCTTGCTTCTGATCTCTCCACCTAAATTTAATTTCTGCATTTCTGAGTGCTTCACCCCAGGTTTTATATTCTGAATGTGCATGAGAAAGGTAAAGTATGGAGGTGGATGTATGGAGGAATGAAGAAAGATACATGCAGAAATAGCTGAGATGGACCACAGTATGTTTAAAAAAAAAAAAAAAACCTTCACCGTGACCGTACACCGTACATGCGTCATCTGTGAAATGGGATGAGGCCAACTCTAATAGCTAATGTAAAATGCATCGTATAAAAACACAGGGAGAGCCAGACGCTGGTGGTTCACACCTGTACTCTGAAGGCTGAGATCTGAGGATCAAGGTTGGAAACCAGCATGAACAAGGTTCAAGAGACTCTTATCTCCAATTAAAATCACAGAAAAAGCTGGAAGTGACACTGTGGTGCAAGTGGTAGAGTGCTAGCCTTGAGCAAAAGAAGCTCGGGGACAGCACCCAGGTCCAAAGTTCAAGCCTTAGGACTAGCAAAAAGAAAACAGAAAAAAAAAACCACTGGGAGTAATGAACCTGAGCTCAGCTCTCTGGCTCCGGACCCAGTCACTGAGGAGGTGACACTGCAGGTAGCTGCTGAGAAAGGGAAGGATGTGGATAAGCAGAAACGGTGTGGAAGGCCTCTCCAAGCCTTTATCTTCTCTTCATGAGTGAGTTACAAAGTCACCATGCAGCTTAGAAATCATGTTTGTTGGGCATTTAAGATGGTATAAGGCATAAAATACCTTGTGATTATGGTTAAAATAACAACCCATCACTGACTCTAGCAAGGTTAGGGATTGAACGTGAAACTCCTAAATAAAGCCAGAACTTTGGAAGAGAAACCAAGCTGGTAATTCCCCTTAGCAAAGCTACTAACATTCCCATATTATGATCAAACCTCTGTGAGCCCACAATCAAAGGCGACCAAACTCACCTGGAAATGAGCCACCCTGTGAGCAAGAATCACCAAAAATTATAAACAATGTACTTTATCCCTGCCAACTTCCTATCTTGGAATTACTGAAACAATCACATATATACTATGAAAACATATCATTAAAATATTTATTGAAAATTAGATTAGAATTTCAAAAGTAATCAGTGATTTTTTTAATGGTAAATTTGTGTGCGTGTGTGTGTGTGCGCGCGCGCACACATGCGCACTGCTCTTGGGGCTTGAATTCAGGCCTTGGGCTTTGTCCCTGAGCTTCTTTTGCTCAAGACTAGCACTCTACCATTTGAGCCACAGTGCCACTTCTGGATTTTTCTGTGATTAACTGAAGAGAAGAAGCTCAAGGACTTTGCTGCCCAGGCTGGCTTCAAACTATGATCTTCAGATCTCAACCTCCTGAGTAGCTATAGGATGACAGGCATGAGCCATTGGCACCTGGTTCAAAAATTATAAAGTATTTTTGAAAAGCAAAGAAATAAAATTTTGGAAATCAATAGCAAAAAAGTCAAAAACTCAAATCAGACATTAAATAGTCTATGAGAGAGTTAAAGCCTGAACATACACCAAAAGAAATTATCCAAAATGAAGCACAAAAAGAGAACAAAATTAAAATTATTAAAGAGGTTGAGAGGGGAAGGCTGGAGGAGGGAGAATAGAGAGACAGAGAGAAGAGTTAGAGACAGACAAGCTAACATATATATTAGAGCCCCACCAGGAACAAATAATGACTGGTTCAACACTATTCAAAGTGATAATAGATGGGAAATTTCTAGAAAAACAAATGTATCCTTGGCTACAAAAAAATCACAACAACTCACAGAGATGCTCTCAGATTAACAATGTGACAACATCACATTGTTGAAGACCTCATGAGCTACAAATGCACTTAGCACACGTGACCAACCAAGCGTCCTCGAAGCCAGAGGTCTTCCTCCAAGAAGCCCTTCAAAGCCGTAAGACAGAAGAGCCAGACTTCCAGAACTGCACATTCAGTAACTCAAGATAAGTGTGGGATGAAAACAAAACTAAACTGGGCCTTGGGAGGAATTTCTGGGGAACTGTAGGCAACTCTAAATATTATCTGTATTCCTATAACAATAATCTGATTTAAAAGGGTTTCTTTTTTAATGAGGTTGGGGGGGGGGGGGGACAACCATAATGTACGAACTCAGGGTTTACATTTGCAAGGCTAGAAGCCTACCTCTTGAACCAAGACTCCTGCCCTGGTTTTTGCTGGTTATTTTTGAGATAGAATCTTGCTTCCCACCTGGGCACATACCTGTGCCATGATCCACCTACTTTAGATTCCTATTGCATCTGAGATGACAGGTGCACCCTGCCACATCCAGCTTCCCTCTGTTGGAGAAGAAATCTAGAGTTTTCTGCTTGTGCTAGCCTGGAACTTCGGTCCTCCAATCTCAGTCTCTCACATAGGTAGAATTACACCACTAGCATGCACCGTTAGTGCCAGCACCCATAATTGTGCAGGATTTTCCCCTCTCCATTCAGACCAGTGAGCCCTACCACCTGAGCCACACCTCCAGTCCATTAAGGGTTTTTTTTTTGGAGGGGTGGTTGTGGGTTTTTGGTCTGTTGTAGGGCTGAACTCCAGGCCTGGGCACTGTCTCTCAGCACTTCAGCTCAAGGCCGGTGCTCTACCACTTAAGCCACAGAGCCACTTCCGGTTTTCTGGTGGTTTATTGGAGATAAGAGTTTTGTGGCTTTTAGTGCCCGGGGCTGGCTCTGAACCACAATCCTCATATCTCAGCCTCTTGAGTAGCTAGGATGATAGGCATGAGCCACCGGTGCCCAGGTAAAGGTTGTTGTTTTTGTTGTTGTTGTTAAGAGACAAAAATTAAAACTACTGAAAACATTAACATTTAAATAAGGAGGAAATCATTGAAATCAAAGTATTATATAAATCAAAGTCCTTGTGTACTAGTTAAAAGGGAAACGTTGAGATATTTATACACTTTTCATTTGATTAACCATACATAGTAATATTCCAAGGGAAGATAAGAGAACAGGGGCCCTAAGTGTTCAAAGTTTTTGAATTTTTGAAGCTTTAGATTTTCTTTTGGAATTTATTTCAAATTTTTGAATTTTAAATTTCAAAACCAGGAGATGAAAAAGCCAAAATATGAAATCAAAATATAAACAAATCAAAATCTCAATTCAGTGAAAATAAAGAATTTGAGAAGCATAGGAAAAAGGAGGTGGGAGGATTTTATAAGCCAGGTTGACAGATAAAATCAAGTCCCAAAAATATTTATGGCCTGATAACATTTTTTATGAAGCTCAAAAGCAAGCAAAACCAGAGAGAGAGAGAGAGAGAGAGAAACCTGATCAAGCTCATAAAGCCAAGGAAGGAAATAGTCACACAAAAGCTGGATAATGGATCACTATGTAGGAACATGATAGGAAATGAGGAAAAACTAATACCCAAGTGAGATCATAGCTCTCTGTTCTGTTAATACCCTTCATAACACATATATGTATACCTTTTTGTGTGTTTCAAATGTTTCATTAAAAGTGCCTAAAAATAGGCAGTGGTAAGGCTTCTGCCTATAATCCTAGCTACTCAGATGGTTAAGATCTGAAGACTAGGGTTAGAAGCCAAACTGGGCAGGAAAGACCATGAGACTCTTATCTCCAATTAACTACCAAAAAGAAGCCAGAAGTAGAGCCATGGTTCAAGTGGTAAAATGCTAGCCTTGAGCAAAAAAAGCCCAGAAAT